GGTGGAGAGAGCAGGGGGGGTCGTGGGAAGAGAGAGAGAGAGAGAGAGAGAGAGAGAGAGAGAGAGAGAGAGAGAGGTTCATTTTTCGTTCTTTTTTTTTGTGTTTTCGTAGTGTTTGCTTTTTGATGTTGTGGACCTTGGGCTTCTTTAGAAGAGATAGTTAGGCTACAGCAGGTTTGGGTGCTTCCATGCCATACGTAGGTAGAAATGGTTTCTGGCCTCAAAACGAATTTCTGTTCCATTTTTGTCCGGAAACATGTTCAACATTTTGAGGGCGGGGTTAGACGGGGAGCTTTTAATGAGTTGCAGTATGGTTTTGTCTTGCCTTGTCTTGTGCATTTCTTTTTTTGTTGTTGTTGCTGGCATCTTGCAAGGTAAAAGAAGAGAAAACAAAAAGAAGAAAGAATCTTGCAAGTTTGATGTGTTCATCCATCCATCCGTCAAGTCGAAGATTTGCCAGTCCAGTGCTGTTGCAATGTGATAGCAAAAACTGAGGGTGGTCGCTGTGACTCAGCGTGGAAAGCGAACAGCCTTTTTCTGTGATGGTCTTTTCTGAACTCTGTTTTTTTTTGGTTCTTTTTTTTCCCCTTTTTTTGGGGGGGGGGTAACTCTGGTTTTGGTACCTATGGTTACTTTCATATGGTCATCACAAATCCATTTGAAATTATCAAATGTTAAAAAAAAAAGAAAAAAAAAAGAAGGTAGTGTTGCATACTGTAACGGTGCAGACCAGAACAAGAACCGACCTCTCAATACAAAGTACAAGATGGCGTAGCGGAAGACTTAGATACCAATGATCCGAACAATCAATATTGCAATGCAGCCCTGAACATACATCRTCATCATCGTTCCATGGTGTGAAAGGGGTCTGGCGCTTCACACAGGAAGACTGCGCCAGCCCCAACCATACACAGACGRAGAAGAAGGGGGTTAGACGAAGAGGAGGGGAAGATGGGAATGTCGTCAACACCAAGTCTTCGGCACAGGCCCAAATAGTCCCTCGTCAGAATGTCTGAATCCCAAATGTCGAGTCTGGATCCAATGTCGTCAAGTCTCAAGTCACAACTCTTTCTCTCTCTGTCGTAGTCTGACAAGTCAGGTGGTGAGAGGGTGAGAAGAGATGGTGGACTTAGAAGAGGAAGAAGAAGAGCTCTCTCTCTCTCTCTGTGTCCAGTACTAACCTGTGAAGTTGGCGCCTTGATGCAGGTACCTC